TATTTTTTTTTTTTTACCTTTTCAACCCATTCCTATTTAAAACTAACGTGTATAGCTTATGGAATGGGTTTTTATTTCAGTTTCTATTATATGTTTGCTAGTCATTAACAATCACTCTTTGATTTTTTTCTTAATAGAAAAGGTATTAAATATTAGACACTTTTTAAAATCACTTTGAATTTTATTTATATATTATGAAATGCTAAGCTTTTTTTTTCTTCCTTTTGGTTACCATCTAGAATTTTCTGAAAAAATTGGAACAATCTTTTATGTGTGTCTGCTGCCAGGAGCTAGTTTACCAGCCTGTGACAACAGATTGCCTCCACAATGTCTGTAAAGTAAGTAGCATTTTTTTGTTGTTATTTTTCCATATTAGGCCAGAAGGCATACTAACCTCCAAACCTGTTTTCTGCATGTGAAGAACAATTTTTCCTAAAACAGAATAGTTATGGAACCTTGACAGTTCAGAAGCATTTAATTGCATCTTGGTGGTAAATGCACATTTTAATTCGGTTGTAATATAGTAGTTCAAATATATATAGTTGAGGTATTGTATCACGTTTGGCATTGTTGAGGAGGGGTTGAAATGGAGAAGAGAAAGTAAGATGTCATTGGTGTTTTGTCTTTTAGTTTTTATATGTCTCATATAGTATAATGCAAACTGAAATAATTCCATGCACTTAGTGAACTAAAACAGATTCTATCTGGCAGCATGCCCAGAGAAGTTAAATGTGTTATCAGTGTGGTGTGAAAGGAAAATTTGAGTTTTAGCAAAACCGGTTGGAATCTTGCTCTATTGCTTTGTAGTTCTGTGCCCTAACCTAACTTCTGAATTTGTTTCATTTGTAAAATGGAAACAAACCTTCCACATAGGTGTTTGTGCCTGACCTGCAATTAGTTAACTCTGTAATATATTTAGAACGTCTTTATTTTTCGAATACACATTGTATGTTAAGTGATTTAATAAAACATGTATAACTTAGTTCTAAGCAGGGGAATCCTGAATTTTTTTTCTTTAGTGCTTTATCAGGAATCCACAGTATTAAAATCCAACCTAGAAAATGAGGCTAGTGGGAATCATACATAATCTAACACCCTGATTTTACTGCATGAGGAAATTAAAGCACACAAAAGTTAAGCCATTTACCTGAAGTCTCACAGTCTGTGCCAGATGTGGAACTAAAGCCATATCTGTAGACTTAATTTTCTTAGCACAGATTCTGGCCTTTACATTTACTCATCTTTTATGTTTTCCTTGTTGCCAAACGGTGAGTTTTAGTTCCTATTTGAAAATATAAGTTGTTGAGTGTTTTTCTATGTACTTTACCCTCAGATGAAGTTGGATGTGTATTTTTGGGGGTTTTTTTTGTTGTGTTTTGCCTTAGGATTGCTTACAGCGCTCTTTTAAGGCTCAAGTTTTCTCCTGCCCTGCTTGTCGGCATGACCTTGGCCAGAATTACATCATGGTTCCCAATGAGACTCTGCAGACTCTACTTGACCTTTTCTTCCCTGGATACAGCAAAGGACGATGATCTGTCTACTTCTACTGTATTGTTCCTGGTGATTTTTTTGGACAATAAGGAATCTAAAATGGTTGGGGGTGGGTGGGGATGGAAGCAACGGTGGACCATATTTCTCATGTTCTGAAGCAGCTAATCCTCTTTCCTACATAGCCATCATCTTGTGTGTGTAGTAAGAGGCCCATTTCTCAGCTGTCTTTTAAATATCAAAAGGTAGTTCCTGTAAGTAACAACTAGTTGTAATGAGTAAAAGTCAAACAGCCTCAGCTCTAGTTGATATCCAAGTTATGATTTATTTTGCAACTACCTCAGGACAGAAAAGATTTATGGGGATTTTTTAAATCATTGAATAATTAGTTAAATGAAATTTTAGCTACACACTGCCTCCCAAATATTAGTTGTGCCTGGTTCATGTAATTTGATTTTACAGAAAAGGAAATGACACTTGAGATTGTTGGAATGAACGCAGCTTCTGTAGTGTGCATAATACATTTTTAATGTCTTCTTCCATTACGATGTGTGTTTTGCAAGGACAGGTTCATTTTTTAGCCCATTTTTGTGAGCCCCATTGTGCTTTTTTTCTGGTGTTTTATGCAAGTTGACTACTAATGACTAATGAGAACAATATGAATGCGTTGTTGCTGCATTAGTGTAATGTGGTGTGGTTTTGCACTTAAAAAAGAGGTATTCAGATACTCTAACTGTAAATGTTTATGAAAAGCCTCTTCTGTATTAGTCAAACTGCTTTTAGTGAGTCTTACCAGTGGTTTTACATCTGCAGAGCATTGAGGACTGGGCTGATTTTTTGAGAGGATGAGATTGCTTCATATTGTGACCCTAAATTTTATATTCACTATACTCCCTAAAGTATACCTTAATAAATATTTTATGACCAGCAAAATAGCTCATCTTGCTTCACTGTTTTATATTTGTCTGTCTCATAGTATTTTAAAGAATCAATCATTTCCAGAGTATTTCATTGTACATTTTTATTGAAACACACCTTTTGCACAATTTTTTACTCTTGATTTTTGGTAATGAGAACTCGTATGAAATCTTAAGCTCTAAGGACAGATTTCACCCTGGGTTTGACCTTTTTTTTTTAACGTTTTTTATTTCACTAAATGGGAAAATTTTTAATATAAGAAAGAACAACCTTTCATCTATAACAACTTCATTCTTATGTTCAATTTTATTATAATCAGTGCTACTTTTTATTTCAGACACAAGAATATTCTAAAATGTAGTTTTAGTCTCAAACTATATTGTTTTATTATCATCAGAGAAAAGTTTTAACTTGATCAAGCCGTTTTTTTCTACCCCTGAATTCAGAGCCATATATATAGCCAATCTTTGTTGAATATTTGCTTTGTACTAGTCATTTATATGTTTTTATGTGTATTCATTTTATACTACTGACAATCGTAAGAGGGAGGTGCTGTTATCCCCATCTTATGGATGAATATCAAAGGCATAGAAAGGTTAAGAAACTTGCCGGAGTTCATATGCCAAGGAAGTAGCAGAACTGTGCTATAAATGTAGGCATTCTGAACCCAGATCTGGCAAATTTTACTTCTGGGCTATATAGACTCTCATATTTGAATATAAGCCAAACTAGTTTCATTGCTTTTCCTGTATTCAGTAAATTCAAAATCATATTCTGGGAAACATTTACAGCACAGTGATTAGAGCTGTCTGTCACGTAGGGTTATAAATGTTGGAATCATTTTTATTTTGATGAATCAAATTCTTAGATTGAAAATGAATCATTAAATTGTGTCATCTGGTGTTGTAATTCCCTCCTGCATTGGCCATATCTCTGCATGAAGAGTGGGGAATATCTCCCAGTTTCAGCTACTTGAACTGGTTTAGTTCTACCACTTTTATTAGTAAAATAAGTGATTCTCACAGTTTACACATATCTATTGTCTTAATTTTTCTATAATAATAGACTGGGAAAGAAAGCTGTTTCTAGCTTAACATGTTCACAAGTGTCGAGGATGGTCCAAAGCCAAGCAATTCTTTGTTGCTCTTAAAGTTTTTTTAAAGACTTTGTTTTTTAACATAAATATCTGTTTCTATCTGAAAGATACAGACTTTTAGAAAACATAAACACAATACCCTTGTCACACATGTGAAACAAAAATTTAACAGTAATTAAATCAAATACCTAGTAAATGTTCAAATTTCTGTTGTCTCATATGTCATACATGCATATTTTAAGTTAGTTTGAATCAGGAATCCAAATATGATCTTGCATTGTTGTTTATTACTATCTTAAGTATCTTTTAATCTGTATATAGCCCCTCTATCTTTTTTCTTTCCTTTACCTTTTACAATTTGTGTGTTGAAATTGTATTGGAGTCTTTCTGACACAATAGTTTTTTCTGATAACAATGGGGGATGGCTTAACTGGTTTCTCTTTATTTTCTGTAAACTAGTAGTTAGAATTCAAGCATGACCATATTGAGATTTGATTTTTTCCCCAAGACTTCAGAAGTGGTGTGGTTGTCCTTCAGGTGGTATGTAGTAGTATCTGGTTGTCTCTTAGGCTTAAGGTTGAAAGATGAGCTTTTCCCTGGATTCTGTTCTATTTGGTAGGTTACAGTGATTGCTATTAAATACTCAGCCACTTCCATTTGGGTAGGATTTTTTTCTTTGATTTTTTTTTTTAATTAGAGTAGGCAGGGCCTCTTGCTTTAGAACTCACTTCTAAATAATATGGTTCATTCAACAAATATGTGCATGCTGGTATGTTTAAGGATATTAGGCAATCTTTCGAAAACTGGCTATCTAAAACACCCTTAACTTTCTCACAACCCTGTTGTGACAATTCAGTTAACAGAAAGGGGTCCTATATAACTTAAAGTTTTGGGTTTAAGTTTAGATCCTACTTACAAGAGCTGTGTAGAAATCTGCTCAGACTTGCCCACTGTCTATTTCTTTCTTTGCCCATTAGGGACCAGACCTTTCCCCATTCTTCCTCAGGACATACAGAAAGATAGAGCTCATGATTGTCTACCTAATTTGAGGGAATTGAGTTTGATGGCCCATTTGCCACCAGCTCACATTGGGAAGAGCTATGCTTGTCCACTGTCTGCTGACTGGTCCCCGTACTAGACAATTAAATCTCTGAAGGAGCTGCTACTTAATAACCTGGAATAATCAGACACTACACAGAAGAAAAAAATGATTAAACACCAGTTGCTGAACATAAGAAATCAAGAGCTAGCTAGAGAGACCAAGCAGGATGACCTAACAACTATTTAAAAAAAAAAAAAAGAAAGAAAGAAAAAGTTTTACAACTATATCCTCAAGTGTGAAATGGCAGTGCATTGATGGAAGAACAAGCTGCTGTATAAAGAGTAAGTTGAGATTAAAATTCTTAAAAATAAACATGATAGTGAAAAAAAAAAGTAACAGACAAAACAGAATGGACACTGCCAAAATTTGAATGTATTGCTGATAATCCGTTATATATGGATATCCCACAATATGTTTATCTATTCATCTGCTGATGGATATTTGGGTTGTTTCCCGGATTTTGTTCTTATAAATAAAGCTGCTGTGAACCGTTGTGTGTAAATCTTTGGGAAATAGTTTGACAAGTTCTTACAAAATCAAATATGTGGTTACCATACACTTCAATTTCACTAATAGTTATTTACTCAAGAAAAATAAAGATGCATTACCAAAGTAGTTTATATCATTTTATATTCCTGCCAGTAGTCTATGAGAGTTGTGGTTGCCCCACATTGTCACTAATGCTTCATTTTGTTCTTCTTTTTCGTTGGAACCATTCTAGAGGGTGTTTAGTTTCCTTAGGAGACAAGAATGGTTTGAATATTTAGTGACCAGAATGACTGTGTTAGTCATTTGTAGTCACCAGTTATTTCTGGCTCTCAAGTGCATGTGTCAGGATTGCACATCCTAGCCTCCTTGTGGTTTGCTAGGGCCGTGTGACCAGTTGGTCAGTTATTTGTAACATGCTGTGTCACTTCTAGCCAGAGTATTTCATTGCCCTCCGGAGTTTACTTTCCCCTTCCTTGGAGACCAGTAGCATCCACATAGAGCTGTCATATCAGCCTGGGTTCCAGAGTGAGAGTGATCTGGAGTCCCCAGCCAACTTATGATGGACATGAAACGTGAGTGAGAAGTAAATCTTTAAGTCCCTAAGATTTTTGAATGAACACAACATGACCTAGCCAGTCCTGATGGATCAAAGCATTCCTAAATTCCTCAACCTACCAGTAGCCAAGGAAGTGAATTTTTTATTGGTCTTGTAATGATATGGAACTAGAACTAACACTATTTTAAAACTAAATTCTTTACTATCCAAATCATTTGACTATGAGCTATTGATAAATTGGTTGATAGTGTGATAAGCAACCTCTAAAATGGTCTCCAGTGATCTCCACTCTGTGGTCTTCATGCTCTGTTTAATCTCCTCCCCTTGAATGTGGGTCAGGACTTAACTGATTCTCTTAAAATGAATAGAATGCAGCAGAAGCGATAGGTTACAAAAATATTGTCTTCCACTTTCCAAAGTAAGGTTACAAAAATACTGTCCTCCACTTTCAACAACCTCTTGCTCACTATGAGAGAAGCCAGCTACCATGTTTTGAGCTACTTGATGAAGGCTCTTGTGGCAAGAAACTGATGTCTCCACCCAACAGTCATTGAATGAGCATGAAAGTAGATTCTTCCCCAGTTAAACCCTGAGCTTCCATGGTATCTGATAATCTGCTGCTGTTCATATTATTTCCCTCAGTGGGTAATGTGTTGTTTTTCTCTGGCTTTCAAGAATTTTTTCTTTGTCTTTAATTTTCCAAAATTTGATTATGATGTGTCTGAGCATCGTTTTCTTTTGATTCATCTTGTTTTGGATTCACTCAGCTTCTTGTATGTAGATTATATCTTCTGTCAAATTTGGTAAGTTTCTAGTCATTACTTCTTCAAATATGATTCAGTCCTGCTGTCTTTTTTCTTCTGGAACTACAGTGACATGAATGTTAACTCTTGTTATTGTCTCACAAGTCTCTTGAGATTCTCTTCATTTTTATTTAATATATATATTCTCTATTTAGATTATGTAATGCTTAATGATCAGTCTGCAGGTTTACTGATTCTTTCCTCTGTCATTTATATTCTGCTATTGAGCCCATCCAATGAGTTTTTTTGTTTTGTTTTGTTTGGGGTTTTTTTTCTATGACTGTATTTTTCAGTTCTAAAATTTCCATTTGGGTCTTCTATATATCTCTTAATTCAAGTTGATTCTTGATATGAGTAATTTTGCATTGGATCCTGGGCACTTGGAGTATTATGAGAATCTTGTTCCTATTTAAGTCTTCTACGTTGTAGGACAGATTCTTTTCATTTTCAGGTTTATGTTAAGAATGCATGTCCTGGTCCACTTTAGTGGTTCAGTGTCAGTTTAACTTTCAAAGTCTTTGTAGTGCTATTCTCATGTGTCCCTAGTTGGATACTACTCAGAAACCAATCTGAAACCTGGGCAGTAGTCCACTCATAGTTCATTTTGCTGTGTTGATTATGGTCAGTTTCATGCATGGTCTGCTTAAGGATCCTACTAGGACTTTATACACAGATTTCAAGGAACCGTTTCTCCAGCTCCCTTCTCTGTGTAATCTTGCTTCAATCTCTCATTGGGATGGTTAAGGTACTGCCTCTTAGCAGCTAGTCAGTAAGTGCAGGGTAAGGATGGTCCACATGGCTTCTCTCCATAGTCGCGGCCACATCCAGTGACTAGGGGAATGGATGTTCACCTGGAGTGAAGCAGGTATAATCAAAGGGGGTTTTTTCTATAGGTCACCTTTTTTCTATTCTTTTGGCTTATAAGAGCAGGCCTTTTTTTTTTCCCTCTGGGCCCAATGTGTTTTGGAGTTGTAGGTTTCTCTTGCGTCTAAGCCATAAAGTAAAAAGGAGACAAAAGAAAAACCCCAAGAAATTTCTGGTCATTCCTCAAGTTTTAAAGTGCCTACTCAGACCACCCTTTTTCCACCTTTTAGAGCCTTTTGATAGTTCTTTTTTTTTTCTTTTTTTTTCTAGATTTTTATTGGGGAATTGGGGGAAGGGGAACAGACAAGTTGCTGTCCTTTTGTTCTTCAGTCTAGTTGTGGAGGACGTTTCACTGGCCCAAGTTGGCACCATCATTGCGCTCTTCCCAGGCAAGGCAGATCAGTCGCCGGCTTCTAGATGGCTGCTCACGGCGGCTCTTCGCAGCTCACATTGGCTGCCAGCCGCTCACGCTGGCTGCTGGCCACACACGGTAGCTTATGGTAGCCCACTGCAGCAGGGGACTGCAGCCTACGCCGTCGCCAGTGACCCACAGCATCCCAGCTCCAGGTCGAGCTGTTGTTCAGCAGCTTAGCTGTAGAGGGCAGTGTCACTGGCCCTCATATGTGGGATCCGAACCGGGGCCCTCTGGCATCCCAAGCCAGCTCTTAACCAACATGCCACTCGGCCGGCCCTTGATAGTTCTTTATATGTATTTCATCCAGGGTTTTTACTTGTACAGTAGTTACCCCCATCCATGGTTTCACTTTCTGTGGTTTTCATTACCCACAGGTCAACCGCCGTCCAATGGAACGTTAAGTGGAAAATTCCTAAATAATGTATAAAGTTTTAATCGTGTGCCATTCTAAGTAGCGAGATGAAATCTCTTGCTGTCCCATGACGTGAATCATTCCTTTGTCTATCCATGTTGTATACAGTACCCACCCACTAGTCACTTAGTAGCGCTCTCAGTTATCAAGTCAACTTTCGCGGTATTGCAGTGCTTATGTTCAAGTAATCCTTATTTTACTTAACAATGGCGCCAAAATGCAGGAGTTGTGACACTGACAATTAGGATATACCAAAGAGAAGCTATAACGTGCTTCCTTTATGTGAAAAGATGTGTATGTATAGGAAGAAATGAAGTATATGTAAATACTGTCTGTAGTTTCAGGCATCCACTGGGGGTCTTGGAAAGGATCCCTCACAGATAAGCGAAGACTATTGTATTTAGCAGCAGGAATAGGGTAGGATATACTTACTCCATCTTGTGTGGAACTCGAATTCTCCCTAAAACAGGTTTTTATCTTCTAAGAAACTAAAACAGGTTTAACAAGAAAGGATTAACCCTATTTGAGAGGAAACTAACATTTATTAAACTATGTATCAGACA